TTCCTGTTGCCTCACCATGGTTTTCCTGACAGAAGCCTGGCCGAAATGCCTGTATTTGCTCACTTTGTGTTTGCCACTTTGTGTGTGTGTGTGTGTGTGTTTGTGTGTGTGCCTCTGATAGATAGATACTCTAGAAATTTGTCACTCTCTGGGTTTGATGACTGGAAAACAAAAACAGAAAGCCATTCAGACTTGCTAGGAAAGATGTGGAGCTCTAACGGACTGAGATCAACAGGGGGGAGACTGTTCTGAGGAAATTCATCGCATTTGAAGTTCAGGAGTGGCTATCAGGCCAGAAACGTAGGTATTCACAGAAAATCAACATAACTGAACACACAAAAAAATAAAACAAAAAAGAAATGAAAGAGCAAGAGTAAATTTAGACCCAAAAACTCATATGGGTATCTAAATATAAATCTTGTGGGCATTAAATCCTCTTGTCATGTTTGTTCTTTTTGTATGTCTGTAAGTTACAGCAGCCTTTAAGCAGCTTTTACTGTTTAGTTAACAACACGATCACAAGATAGTCATGGTAGAAACGCCAAAGCAATACATTTAAAGAACGCAGCAACTAATGCGGTTCCACATTTTCAGCACCCAACTGGAATTGTATACTTCTGGTCATGCTTTCATATCAGCTATAAAAGCTAATCAAAGGTGTGTGTGTGTTTGTTTGTTTGAGTTTAGCTGTTGATCAAGGCAAAAGACACACCAGTTGTGTCTTTTGCAGTGTCACAATTCCTGTCTGTTTCTTCATCAGCAGATACTTCATCATCGACATCAGGATCTTTCTTGAATGCAATAATTGGTCAAATACAATGATGTGACGTAGTATACGGCTGCTGGTGGAATAGGCTGTAAAGTAACTTTACATGTAACATACTTGATACATCATATCATCAAATTTCTCATCATATTGGTGTAAGAAAACCCTTCAGCTAAACATTTCAGCTTACATTTCCATAAAACAGCAGCTGTCAAGCTTTTAATGCAAAATATTGAATTCAAACTCTTACTACAGTCAGTGTGCCTTCTGGAACCTCCTCTTGTTTTCTCTGTTGATTTAAAATAAAATTATACAAAGCGCACTTTTTTATAATGTAACATACCACATAAACGTGGCAGTATATGGAGCAGTATCAATATCTAGTCAAGGTATATTTGTGCTAAATTATTTGTAATTTAAGGACAATAAAGACGGTTTCAACTAAAAATTTCAGTGAGCGACTATTGCTTCAATAATGGAGCAGCTGAGTTAGAAACTACAGGCAGATCATGTGTTAACATGTCCGCTTTATCCGAAGGGACCCAGTTGTTTGTGGCTTTTCCCATGCACTTCATTAACATTGTGTTCATTGTGTTTAATTCTAATTTTTTCACATGAGATTTTTGTTATTTATTTAAATGTTTATGATACATTTATTGATTTGGTCCCCCACCAATATGACATATAATACACCAAGATTGGATTAAAAAGAGATGCCATTTATTAGCAGAGACATGCAGAAAAAAAAGTTATTGTGTCTGTCACATTCCTATATATATTATATATATATATATATATATATATATGTACTAACAAAGACTGAAACAGGCCATCTCACAGCCATCATAACTAAATAAAACAAAGTATTAGTGAATTTAGGGCTTTATTTTGCTGAACTAAACAAAACAAAACAAAAACACAGTAGGTGATTGGATTATTTGTTCATTACATACTTATTTATATTGCATATTACTTATGCTCTGTTTTTCAGCTGAGTTTGGATAATTCAGTTTTATCTCTCCATTTATGAGATGTGAGCTCACAAGAGACATAAAGGCTCAAAAGATCTCCTGATCTCTGTTGCTATGGAGTCACAGACAGCCCTCGTGTAGGCTTGGCTGTAAACATTTCAGGGTTGTTGTACATGGTTTGCTGCAGGTGCCAGCTCCAGCCATTGCCTTTTCACTGCTTGGAATAACCTCCAAATGTACAGACATGTGGATCTTAATCCTGTCCACATAATCACATCTTCTTACATTCAGCTAGGGTCAAACCGTCCACCTTATGTAACGGAGGAGCCAGAATTTTTTGACCTATTAGGTTAAACTACTGCTTTGTTTCTGCTCGACAGGATTCCACAGGACAATACCACTAACCTGTCGAGCAAGATATTGCACCGAAAAGGGTCTGAAGCACAATAAACAAGACAGAAAGAGAGCTAGGTGGTGTGGAGGAGGGGGACAGAAGAGAGTTAAATCAGTCACTCAGCCAAAAACCAGTGCCACGCCCCAGGTGCCAGGGCTAGTAAGAGCAAGCAGCAGGAATGTGAGGGAAATGAATGGGAGTGTAAGTCCTGCCATTCACATGGTGAGTGCCTTCTTTTTTCACCTTTAGTCTGCATTACTTACTATATAAACATATCACATAGCTTGGTGAGGGTGTAAAAATCAAAAATCGTTTGCATAATGTTGAATTTCTCTTGTGGAATTTCAGATGCACGTGGTTTGTCATTTTGTTGAGAGTATGAGAGAAAGAACTCAGTTCAGTTTAGGTTTATCGAACTGTGTAGATGACAAGAGCATACTTATTAAAAGCTTACCACACGGTGTCAGTGTGAAAGCTTTTAGTCGGGTTTTAACCTCATATAAAGATCACTAGTGGACAGAAAAGGGAAAGGATATCCTCTGTGGTCAATGGTCTGCACAACACAACTCTAGTCTTTGACTAAAATAAAAACATCACGTGGTGTATGTGTGTGTGTTTGTGTGTATATGAGGCAGTTTGTTTTTTTTCTCAGGTAATAAGTAGGTCTCTCTCTCTTTTACAATTTTTTTTATTTTTCATATGCTCCAGTGTGAAAGGGACTGTGTTCTCACAAATAAATAAAGAATTGTGCTCTGTCTGCTTTTAAGGAAACAAACATTCAGCAAAATAAGATTTTTTTCCCCTGTCTCCAAAAACGTCATTGGGACTATGGAAACACTTTGAACAGGCCAGCCAGTGATTCAAGACCACTGCTCTGAGTGGAGAGTGCATATTTTCTGTCTGTGCGGTTGGCAATCTGTTTACTGGAAGGGCTGCTCACCCCAGAGCACATGTAGCTGCATGTGCAGCTGCCCTGTGAGCGCCAAGAATACTGTAGAGTTAAAGTGTAAGTGCACAGGTAGAGAGGGTTTTTTTTTTTTGGTGGCCATGGTGGGGGGTGTTTGTGTGCAGGCAAATGAATGTGTACCTGCTATTTTGTTTGGAGAACATAGCAAATAACCAGCCTGGCCACAGTAGAAGCCTCTGTGTATATCTGCTTCAGAGTGAGTCGAAAAGGTTTGCAGTCTTGTTTTAAGCTGTGTTTATTGGAACCAGGGTTCCTGCTCCTCTAAAAGCCAGCTTTAAGAGACTGAAGGGCTTTGGGAATGAAGACGCATGGGCTGGTTTCAGTGTGTCCCACGTTTGTCTATTGTACACAGCTAGTGCTGACAATGGGAGGGTTAAATATCTGATACTCACACCAAACCCCGGGACTCAGCTGCAAGTAATTAAAGCTGGCAGTTGGCAGAGAAGAGAATCAGGTGACTGCAATGGCTGCCCCAAGCTCATACCATAATATTTGGATGATGAATCAGTCTGCTAGTAAAAGTGTTGTCATGCTGTTGACTCAAGGTTTTCTCCCCTCCCCATGTGTTGTTGACCCAAAGGCAAGCACAGAGAGCAGAGGAACGATTTTGTGTAACCCCGCTGTGTGTCTGTAAGGAGATCTGTCGTTTATTTGGTGTTCCACAGCTTTGGATTCGACCTCTTTGTGGCTGGTTTTATTCAATTTTTCGGTTCCGGTTTCTTTCTCAACAAGGCACGTTCATAGCCCTGACATCTAGTTTTAGATTAAAGAAATTATTGTTTCACAGGCAATGGAAAATGACAAGAATATGTTTTTAGTTTATTTCATGGAATCTTTTGAGGTATTAGTCTGAGTTCTACAGGGTGGTGATTTCAACTTCCCTTTGTATGTGAAGCCTTTTCTGCTTGTAGCCTGCAAAGTTAGAATCAAACAAAGGTGTCAAAATGGGTGCAGCCAAAGCTTATTTCAATCCCTTCATAATTATGCACTTATTCTCTGATTTGCTGTGCCACTGTTTACCTTTTGATGGTGGTTGCTGAAATTATCTCATAGTCTTAAAGTGTCATCAGAAGTCTCACCTTTTCCAACCAACAGTGCAAAAGCTAGAATATGCTTTTTCTTTTTTTTAAACCAAAAATGTAAACATGGATATCTTTTCAAAATAATTTATTTTAAGTTATTATTATTATGCATGATTTATCAGGAGTATGCCACTGCAATTGCAACATTCTTACACATCTCATGCCTTGAGCAATTCTTATGCTCAAGCAGGTGCAGCAGCAGAGGAATCTTTGTGAGAGTGTCATTTGAAGACTTCAGGGTTCAAACAACAACAACAAAAAAAGTCAGAGGGTGTGTCTGTGGAGTAAAAAGAAATGGAGATGGCCAGACCTTTGTAACCCTTTTGTGATCTCCGTTTGGGGCCGAGAACCTAAAGGCGAGGACAGTCCCTTCTTGCATAACACACCTTAATCTCTGGCTCTGGTGTCTTGGAGCAGGTAACATAGATACCAGGCTTTGACAAGGAAGAAGAATGAGTGGAACAAAGAAGATAATATCGCTGCCTCTGCTGCACTAGTTTTTTTGGGCCTTTTTTACCCCACTGCCACAAATTCATAAGTGCCGCATAATGTCATCATGGTGACCTGTTGCAGAGATTGACAGTGACAAAGAGGTGGAAACTCATCCACCTCTGCATAGTTGTCATTTTATCATTCTACATTTGTGTATTGGGGTATGAAGTTTGACTATTGAAGTGAATTCGATGTTGAGGCGAATTTCTGATCAAGGAAGACTCAGAACAAGATTATGTTTTGCAATTTTATTTTTTGTCTTTGGGGGATGAAAGGAAGTGTGTTTATTTTTCAAAAGAATCCTCTAATTTCCAGTTGACGTGTTACTTTGTCATCCCTTTTAATAAATGTCTGTATTCTCACTACAGAGTCAGTGTATGACCTACTTCCCAGAGAACTGCAGTTGCCTTCGACTACTCAGCAGACCCCAGAAGTCATGAGTCAAACAAGCGGCGGAGAGGCCGGGACTCTCCCCTCAGCTCCTTTAGGATCAGGTAGGATCTTGCCTATCTTGTCCTTGTTTCTCTCAGTGAGCAGGATTGATAGTGCCCCACCCCAAAAACCATAACTCGTGTAACAGTCTGCATCATAAAATAAACACCTGCATGCAGCAGGAAAGCCTGTCAAACTACCAGCGTGCTGCTTTGCGAGATTCACACGTGAGGAAAAACAAGAGAGAACTTGAGGAGGAAGTTAATGTTGCTGGAGTCATGTCAGTTCAACATGCCTGCTGCCTGTACCTGCTTGCTCTCATGTCATTATATAAGTTTGTCATTGTTTTCTCCCTACAAAAAGTGATGGTATTGTGCAGCATTTTTATGAAGGGCTTTCTTGTTGAATTATTCTGTAGGTTTAAGTGTATTTAACATGGATTAATGGTTTGGCTCCTGGTTCACAATGATGTGAGATTTAATTGTTTACAGACTCACTTTAATTTGATTTAGTTATTTAAATTGGTTGATTAGGAAGCTTTATGCAGTCGTTCAATTAGTAAACTCTTTTGTAGTCCAAAGGTAGAGCCGTTTATAGAAGAAATCATATTAGCAGATAAATGTAGTCCAGAAATAAGGCTTTGTGGTTGATAAGCTTGTCGAAGGCTTCACACTAGAACAAAGACTCCTTTTTTAGGGAGATTGTATCATGATGTTCGGAATGCAGGTTTCAACATTCATTGGAAAAGGTTTCACTCAACAGTTGGACCACCTGGTTTTCTGATGACATTAAACATGGCAAAAGACAAAACAAAAGGACTGCGCTGTGCATACACAACAAAAGGCATACAGGTCTAAATATTAGAATTTCAGAGAAATTAGAGAAAAGACAGGAAAGCTTAAAGTTGTTGGCTGTTCTATTCAGGCATTGTAGTGTCTGCATGCTTCTGTTGATCCATGGTCCTATGAATAATAAAATATTTATTGATTTTAAGATATTTTTTGACTGTAAATAAGACTACGATAAGGCAAACAAGGTAGAACTACTACATGAGAACAGCTGCCACCTGATTCTACTCTCCGAAACTTAAGGCTTTTGGTGTGCCAAAAACTGCTTGGCACCATTAGTGCACGTTATCAATTTGCACAACATGCCAATTCTTAAGCCTAAAAGTCCCCACTCCTTGGCTTAAGGTGGCTGCTTTTAATGCCTGAAGAGATAGCAAATAAATAACTGTCTGAAAGACATTTCAGACATTTCTTCATATATATATTTTAGACATTTCTTCATATATATATATTCTTCATATATATATATATATATAAAACTGTTTGTTTTAAGGTATTCTTCCTCCTATCTTATTAACATGCAAGTCAGTAACATATTGCATGTTAATAAGTAACAATTGTTATTATTGGTGATTAGGGGTATATTTTTTTAAAAATAATTTATTTCCCATAATAACTTAAAAAAACAACAATGCTCTGTCTTCTGGCTTTTTTTTGTGACTGACCACATGTTTTGTACACAAAATAGACACAAAATCCAGAATATTTGTCTACTCATATTAATACCGTGCAGCTCCGCCACACTTCCCCCACTTCTCATCTGGTTTAGTTCATTGTGCAAACTAGTACTCAGATGCTGGATAACAGAATTGATCTGCATGCTGATGCCTTTTTTTAAATTCTTTTTTGTTTTTTTTTGTTTTGGGTGGGGTGTGGACTGGGTACTATGTAATAATAATTTATTATTTCATCCTTTTTTTTTTTTTGCTGTTCAGCTTTTATTGTTTATTCGCTGTCTCATTTTTATATTCCAGGAAGTTCCCTCTGAAGCAGGGAGTGTCTGCATATTAAATGGTCTGCAGTTCTCTGCTTCATAGGTCAGAATTTTCTTTTTTTGTCTCTGTGGCTACTTTCAGTCCCAAGAGTATGCTTCTGCAGCAAAAATCAAACAAAAAAAAAAACAAGACAAAATAGGAAGTGCTCTCAAAGGTGGCATGTCTTATACTATTCGTTATAATGTATTTAACTTTTTTCACCATTTTAATATAAAAATTCAGATTAATGAAAAATGGCGGTATCGTTCTCTTCTGATCCCGTGTACAGCCACATCTCAGCTGTGCTTCACCTGCTTAACATATTCACATTTCAGATATATTTTCAGATATGACATCAGACAGTCACAGAAAAGATGCAGTGAGAAGGGGGAAAGTTTATAAGATGAAATTCAAATAAAAGATACCATTAACATGTTTTGCTGCTTGAGTGGGGCTGCAAGTCCACACCAGTTGAGGTGCCTTTATTCACTGTCTGATTATTTACACTGTAGATGCCATGTCCTCTTCTCTGACCATGGAAGGCCCTCGCAGTGCTTTTTCCACCTTATCTAGCTCCACCGCGCATTCCAGCACTTCAGGCAGTGACCTGAACCCAGCTCACAACAGAAATGTTGATCCAGACGACACCAGGAATAGCAGAGTGGTACCAGAGATTGCTGGAGCGGAGGGCGGGAGTGGGAACAACGGCAGCACAGCAAATGGCAGGGGCAACTGTGAGCTGGGAGGAGGAAGAGGTGCTCTACCGCAGGATGCCTCAGCACATCATCAGATGACCCCGTCAAAGCGCCGCACCATTCTGAACATCTCCCCACCACCACAAGACCTGTTGGATGACAGCCGCATGTCCTGCCAGGATGACTCAATCCTGGACTCGGAGCAGAGTAACAGCATCTGGATGGATGACTCTCTGTCCAACTTCAGCATCATGAGCACTTCCTCATACAACGACAACACAGAGGTGCCGAGAAAGTCCCGCAAGCGCACCCCCCGCCAGAGGCCAGGACCTAAGACTGGGCCTGCAGCAGGAACCAGTATGGATGTATTTGATGCAGACAGCGCCAAAGGTCCACACTTTGTCTTGTCTCAGCTCGGCCCCGACACCAAGTCTGGCTCAAAGGGAAGGTTTGTAGCTAGTTTTAATTCTGTAGTGGGCAGTGACCTGTTTTGTCACTTCATTATGCTGTCAAAAAAACTAAGGCTAATGAATGTATGGTAACAGAAGGCAAGGAAAGCACATCTGCACTCCATCACTTCTTGATTCAGCCTCATTTACAGGATTACATACTCATTTTATTCCAATTCTTTATTTAAAGGCTGCTCCAAGGAATTCAACACTGATCTCAATTGTCAGATTTGGTATTATCTGGAGGTGACACACTGACACTCACCAACAGATGAAAATCTTTAACAAACTACTATGGCCCCAAATGTCCCACCACAGTGTGACTAAGGGAGAGCGGTTAGATCAGAAGGGAGGGAGGGGCAGGATACTGAAGTACAAACAATGGTCGGCCACAGTGAATCACAGAGCCTCTCTCAAAGACCTAGGATAAGCAGAGCAGATTGAATAAACAGATAACTCTGAACGCTTTAAGAGCTGGGGTTAGAATATGCCATGCTGATGGAGGGCCTCTTAACCCTGCATTACGCAGAGCTCCATGGCAACGTCAGAGCGTTTTCATTGTTGCGGCAAACCACAGACAATCACTTCCGTAGATATTTCTTATTCATAGAATATTATCAGAATTTTCTAGGTTATGGTCATAGGTAAAGTTGATGAACTCTGTCAAATCTGTGTTTTTTTGCAGCTCTGATGATCCGCAGACACCGAGTCGTAAAGGAGGAACTCTGTCAATGCAGTTCCCACAGAAGTGCGAAGGAAAGGAGCTGAAGATCATGGTTCAGCCTGAGACTCAGCACAGAGCTCGCTACCTGACTGAAGGTAGCAGAGGGTCAGTCAAGGACCGCACCCAGCAGAGCTTTCCTACTGTAAAGGTAACTTTGAAGAACCCTAACAGCGTTTCTGCTAATTCCTCTGTCGTCAACGTTGTAACTTCACTGGTATATTTTACTTTAGTTTAATGTCATGTTAATAATTTGATTGTTGTCAGAGTCTGAATTCTGCTGCTTTTAGGGACTCATGAGCACTGAGGCAAAAAGTCAATACTGTGCTATGAGAGCAAAGGTCACTGTGTGTGTCTCATTGGACAGACAGACATGCTGACTGTTGATGCCCTCAAACAGGGGTAGTTGATACATCAGGGTTTCACAGCATTGTATTATTGGCCATTTTAAAACTACAGTTGCTTTTAACCTCCAGCCTGAATAAAATACATGACATTTGCAGCTGAAACTGCCCTACATTAGGCTTGTGATGTGGTTTAAAATGACTCTGCAAAATGTTCATTTTCTTTGTACTATGAATAACCACAGAGAAAGTCCCAGTGGAAAAGCAATCTTCACTGCTTTTGCCCTTAGATAAAGACGTTTATAAAAGGCCTAACTTGAGTTCTTGTTCTTAGACACAAAGCTGCAGTGTGACAACTAAAATAGACTAATTTATAAAGCCAGTGTTTCTCTTGAAGTAGCGTAGCATACTCTTCTAATAAGAGGCCAAAAGGAAGCACAACATAGACATTGTCTTGCCTACAATTGATCATTTAATCATCTTAGACATAGATATGAGGCAGTCTGAATCTGCTGGTTTCCTTTACTGGCTCAGTTGTTTGGTGGGAAAACTTAGGATACAGAAAAATGAAGGAGCTATAAACAAGACGTTAGTTAAAGCTCGTTGTTAAAGTTTTTGCTGTCAACATGAGGACAAACAGATCTATCAAGGGAAAGCAACTTAAAGAGAAGGATCTAACTGAAGTCCAGTTGCTGAGAGCCCCTGACAGATGCTATTTGACTGTCAAAGACCAAAAAAAGAAACCGGCGTACATTCATCTGCTCTGTTGTTGTCACTATATATTCTGTTGCACTTAAAAAATGCTTTTTTTAAAAATGGCACCAGTTACTAATCTTTTGTCCCCCCCCTCTTCCCTCTCACACAGCTGGAGGGTGTGAATGAACCAGTGGTTTTGCAGGTGTTTGTTGGCAACGATGCTGGTCGTGTGAAGCCTCATGGATTTTACCAAGCTTGCAGAGTCACTGGCCGCAACACCACTGCCTGCAAAGAAGTGGACATTGACGGCACAACAGTCATTGAGGTGCCCCTTGATCCGAGCACCAAAATGAAATTAGCGTGAGTTCATTTCTTAAGATTTAGGTTTGAACGTTGTAGGGACAAGGATTGTTTCCATCAACATTTTTGAACCAGAAAGAAACATTTTGTTGTGAAAATATTTCTCTTGTACATCGCCGATCGTGTAGACCTGTTGCTTAATACAAGACTTGCATAGCAGTCACTCATGAGCTGTAAGGTACATAAATATTTCAGTCACCGCCTTGAAATAACTTACTGTACTGACATGCTGAGGCATACTGCCCTTTGAAGCACTGATAGTATAGTAAATACTGTAAAGTTTGTTATTGAAACTGCAAGTTGAAACAAGTCCAAGCTAACATCTTCCCTCTGTTCAGGGTTGACTGCGTTGGGATTTTGAAGCTCCGTAATGCCGATGTTGAAGCTCGCATTGGTGTAGCAGGGTCCAAGAAGAAGAGCACACGTGCTCGGCTGGTGTTTCGGGTCAACATTCCAAGATCAGATGGCTCAATGCTCACACTACAGACCCCCTCATCTCCCATCCTTTGCAGTGAGTCAGTCTTCCAGTATTTACCTTCAGTGCTTCACTTTATTTGCAGATCTGTAAAGTGGAGATATTCTGCTGGCTTATATGAAGACTGTGATTTCAAGTTCATAATTGAAAAAATTAAACCCGTTGTGCCACAATTTAAAAAGTTAAATGTGAGAGAACAAACAGCTGAACTCAAACCTGATTAGTTAATAATTAACATTCGACTTTTTCAAGTACTGTTTCTCAATCTTAATATAGGCACTGGTCAGTAGAGCTGGTTTCCTCTGATGTCAGCATTTGGAATGGAAAGACCCCTTAGTAATAATTTGTTTAATTTATTAATGCCCAAAGTATGAGGGTGCGGTTGGTTTCACAAACAGGAAAGACGTTTGGGGCCATGAGAATATATCGGTATATCTGGATTTGGGACAACGGCTTTGAAAGTAGCAGGGAAGAAAGAGACGGAAAGGACAAAACAATAGAGGTGTGTGGACGTCTATTGTTTACATGGAGCCAGCATGCAATCCAGGGAAATGTCTTTCCGCAAAACAAGAAAAAATAGTAATTCCTCTTGGCATGTATGGGTGTGTGTGCATGTGATGCACAGTGAGATCTGATGGTCCTGTCTCCAGCATATATAGGCCCTGTAAACCAAAGAGAAAAGAGAGAGAAAAAAAATCCAAATCCATAAAGAAACGATTCCAGCTGCCTCCCCGACAAGAAATAGAAAAAATGGCAACATTCTTTTTTGTTGCTGGAAATTTAGCTAAAAGCTCAAATGCTTTCAACAAATGTCCTGTAATTATTTTCTGATAATTATAGTAGATTAAAATGCATCAAATTCAAAAGGATGGAACTTGATTTCATTCATTAATTTGTAGTGAAACATTTATCGAACAAATTAAACTTGGAGCTTTAAGCTTATGCCTGAATGTAAAATCCATTAAAGGTTTCTTTCAAGTCTATCTCCTCAGAAACAAGTTTGACTAATCAGTGCTTGCTTGGATCATTTACAGCCCAGCCGGCAGGGGTGCCTGAAATACTGAAGAAGTCACTCAACAGCTGCTCAGTGAGAGGTGGAGAAGAAGTCTTCATTATTGGCAAAAACTTTCTTAAGGACACAAAAGTCATATTCCATGAGAATATTTCTGGTGAGATATGACACCTTTAAACGTATATTTGAACAGTTTGTGATGCAGCTTTTCATTGACACCCGACTTTTGGCCCGATCGCTGTTACAGATGAGAAGTCGTGGAAGGCAGAAGCTGAAATTGACATGGAGCTTTTTCATCAGGTGAAATATCACTGTTCTTGTTGTACTCTTCTGTACTGATTGGCAACTATCACTGACATGAATAGATAGGAGAAACCATTCTAGTTTTGTATGGAGCATCAGATGTAATCATGTTAAATGGCTGCTGGTTCAAAGGTTTGAATATCTTTATTGTGTTCTGACCTAATTGCACTCTTAGAGGATTTGCTGAGTGTGTTTCAACAGTCTGGATTAAATCTTTACCCCTGAAATGGTCAGAAAAAAGAACGAGAGTTTACATGGTATACCTTGAAGGCCCAACAGTAATCTTCAAATATGCACAAGAGCAGGGCCTGCCGCTGGCAGTGGCACCCCTAATAATGTTTCTAAACTTGATTTGTTGTACATTTTTTCTATTCTAACCATACTGAAAAATGTAAATCCAAAATCTTTTTGGATTATGAATTCTGTGTGGGTGATTTATCTGGTTTTATTCTTACTATAATACCTCCTTAAGTATTTAAAAGTGATATATCTGTTACCCTACATAACATTTTATTAACATCACATGTACAAAAAGGAAGTTGGTTTAAAATGTTAACTTAAAAACTTAAAACCTACAAACAGAGTGCATAATAAACTAAATAGACCATCATTTTTTCCCAGTATGTTTTAATTGTCAATTGTCATTGACTCATTGAGCTGACTCGCAGTTTTCCAATAATCCTTTAGTTTAGATGGACTTTGTGTTGAACTAATTTATTTTTGCTGCCTTGGTTTTTAATATTTGATTTTGTTACATTATGATTTTCTTTTATATTATCTCAATCTATTTCCTCTATGATCATCCCAAAGAATCACCTGATCGTGAAGGTGCCAGCATACCAGAATCAAGATATCACCTCTGCAGTGTGTGTGGGGATCTATGTGGTCACGAATGCTGGGAGGTCCCACGATGTTCAACCATTCACCTACACTCCAGATCCAGGTTTGTATGAACAGTTTCATTCTGAGTAAGTCAGCTAATAGGATGACCAGGAAAATGTAACAGACGCTCTTTTTAGTTATCGGATCATGTTCTGCTTTTCATTTTGTACTAAAGAAACCTTGATTGGCGTGTTGTCTTTCTACTGAGAAACTGGCTGTTGGTCAACACTGCCGTCTACAGGCCAATTGAATTAGAACAAGGGTTTGAAGTGTGGCACACAGCACTTCTTATAGAGAAGAGTCCTCCTGTATAGCTATCATTTGTCGCTGTTGTGACTAACAAGCGAACTCAAATAAAAAAAGAAACACTTTTACATCCCTTGTGGTTTCTTTCTAACTTACATGGATTTGCTTTCATGCTTTGTACAGCAAAAAATGATGTACCTGTGAAGAAAGAGATGCCTTCTCCAGTGAAGACCTGTTCTTTTGATGAGCAAATTAAAGGTTGTTTTTTTTTCCATTGGTAATTGTTTAAAGAATATTTCATGAATGTAAGCTGGTAGAATGCTCAGTTTAGGAGTCACTTCTGTTGCCCTCCTATTAGCTCCTAAAAGCTGTTTATTTTCTGATATCTTTAATTGTTGGAGAGTTAAAAAATGAACATATAAGTTGAATAACCTTTGCTTCTACCATTACAATTGTAGATGGTGCCTTGATACCTTCAATATTGCCTTTAGTGAAAAGAGAAGATGTCACTCCTATGGAGGTGACAAGCAACCTACAGTTGTCTCGTGTGTTTAAGGTAAATATAAATATATATGTGATAATCAGTGGTTCTTTTCATATTGTAAAATATTCAGGAATTTGGCAAATTATAACCAATGCAAACTATATTATTCCTCAGAAAAGTTTTCTTTGTGAAGTTTAGTGATTAGCAACCGTAAAATGCACAGTCTACCTTTTTGTTTTTTCTTTTGTGTCCCCATCAGACAGGCGACCTGTGTTCCACTCAGCAGAGCTCAGAAATGACAGCAAGCCATCTTAATAATAACAGGGCATTCAACAATAACCTGTCTCAGGCTACAGGTGATCCTGACAAAGGCCCGGCTGATGCATTTACAAACACTGAACCTTTAAGCACCATCCAAAAGCAGGACATTGCTGTTAGCAGCTCGTTCTCTTTGCCCCCAGACTCCATTCTCCCACAAGGAACGCAGCAGTTTCTCATGGAGCCCAGAGAAGTTCTCACACAGGAGAGGCCCAGCAGCAGTTCGGCTGGCGTAGGGAGGCTGTGTAGTGAACCAGCATCCCAACAACAGCAGCAGCAGCAGCAGCAGCAGCTATCGCATTTTCCTCCAGATGAAGTAGCCCAGCTGGAGGAGGCAGTGAGACAACTTAAAGCTAAAGGATACTGTAGCCTACCACTTCAGTCAGACAACTCCATACCGAAACAGCACCAACACATTCAGCACCAACAGCAGATCCAAAATCAGCAAATTCAACAGCAGCAGATCCAGCAGCAGATCCAGCAGCAACAACAGATCCAAAACCAGCAAATTCAACAGCAGCAAATCCAGCAGCAGATCCAGCAGCAACAACAGATCCAAAACCAGCAAATTCAGCAGCAGCAACATAAGCAAATCCGGCAGCAGCAGGTTTTGGAAAATTTACAGCAGCAGCTCTTCCAGTCACAGATTCAGATGCAGTGCGGAATGTTCCAGGAGGGTTCCCAGGGTAAAAATGCAGAGTGTCAAGGGTCGCCACAAGGGATGGTAACAAACCAGGGATCTCTTTTCCAGCAGGACCAACAGCAACAGAGTCAGCAGCAGCAAGCAGTCCTGTTCCAGCAGGCAAATGAACTTTGTTCTATGCAGGCCAACTTCATCCAGCAGACCCCCACTCATTCGTCACCCCCCATATTCCACAGTCCCAGCCCTTTGACCGAAACCCAAGATCCACAAGGGGCTCTGTTTCAGAAAGCCTCCCAGGAGCAGGTGCAGGCTGCTCTTTTCCAAAACACCATGACAGTGCTGCCATCTCCAGAGCAACAGCCCTCAACTCCTGGACTTTTCCTCCCACAGCCTTCCCTGTCCTCTCAGCTTTCAACCAGCAGTCCTCAGCAACAGCAACAGCAACTGGCCTTCATCAGTGCTCTGCAGTCTGCACAACCAGAACAACAATCCGTATTTCAGCCCCAGGCACAGATGTCCCCTATCCAGCAAAGAAGTCCCATGGAACAGCAGCAGGCCTCCCAGTCGCACACACAACCAGTCCAACAGGCAGGCCTGTTTCAGACTATATCCCCACATTCATCTCCGAGCACTCTCTCCCCAGGCCAGCAGCAGCAACAGCAGCCTGGCCTGTTATTTTGTAGCAACAACATATCTGCACAGCCCCAGGCCGCCAACCTCCTGTTCTCCAACCAAGGCCAGATGCCCCCCCTAACCACCAGCGGCCTAGTGTCTCAAGAACCCCAAAACCCGTCTCTACTCTTTTCCCAAGCCAACATGGTTACAGTCAGTCAGCAAAATCAGCCTGAGCCCATGGCTATCGGGAACCCCACTGATCCACAGCAGCAAGTCATGTTTCGAGAGCAGCAGCCCATGCAGTTGGGCGGCAGCGCCAACAACCAACAGGAGCAGCCTGTGGGCCTCTTCATGTCCCAGTCCAATATGACCCCTCTGCAGGGGGGCCTGGCTACCCAGGAGCTCGCACAGTCAGCCATGTTTGCTTCACAGAATGGTGTGGCGACCCTCCAGACAACCACCTCTTCCCCAGTCCAGCAACCAGGACCTCTGTTTCAGAACGGTGTGAACGGGAGCATCAATCAGCCCAACCAGCCTCAGCAACCTGGCCTGTTCATTTTTGGCATTGAGAACGGTAATAAATGTACTCCCTACGGAAAGTGGAAAGTGAGACGGAACTAAAATGTCCTTGTTATATTTTATTATGTGTGCTAAGTGACTTTGAGTCTTTCTGCGGTTGATAATTAACATTGCTTTGTATCTGCTCGACATGTATCTTGCCAGCTGAATCTGTATGGAGACGTGTATACTGTATTTTAGTATGTTTTTTTGTACATTAGTCCTACCTTTATGGTCCAATTATTTAAACAATTTATATAATTAATCTCAAGTAAATGACTAATTTAATTTAAGTTCTTGTTCTTGAGGAGCAGATGATAAAGCATGTTGAGTCTGCAAACTTTCATTTTTCTTTTCTGTTCTTTTATTGCAGACTGTGGACAGATGCTGAACACAGCAGGAAGCACACTATCAGATCAGATAATAGCCATCAGCCAGTCTGGTCAGAACGAAAGAGAAAGTGAGGCACACATCCAGTCCCTGCTCAGCCAGTCCATGACCCAGTCTGGGCCTGTGCAGGGCAGCATGGCTGCCTCTCAGAACATGGAGAAAATCAATGATCTACTGGTCAGCCTGCAGGAGACGGGCAGCTCATACTGACCATCCTACAGGTTCACACGAAAGAATATTCACTTATACTGTAAATATCTCAAATACTTTTAAAACGTGCAAAAAGGATCCAAATCGCATCTGCTGAAAACTACATGCAGGTAAATATCTGTCAGTGAGCCCCCATTTTCCACCTGTTTGTGGTCCCTAATGTTTCTCTGCTCCTTTAAATTAGGTGGATGTGTTTAGAAAGAAACTGTGAAGCAGAGGTAATGTTGAAAGTGCTGGTGGCCAAGACCGGCCAGCTTCTTCAGGCCAACTTACTTGTGACCATGAGGACAAAGATCGTAATTGTCTATCCAGATATTTGAACTTTGACCTAAGACTGGCTGTGCAGGTTGGCCAAGAAAATTGCAACATCTCTTTGTAACTTAACGAGTGGCTACATCCATTTTGTTTTAACTCACATGAAAATGGAGACAGACTCCAGGCGAGCCTGATCAGAAGTGAAAATCAACCCCTTTCCCTATGAACTGAATGGATCTTGGATCTCATCTAACTTCTTTTCAATTATCAGTAGTTTGCCAGTGTTTTTGTCTGTGGTATTTTCCTGTTCTTTTAGTGTTTTCTAAATTGTTCTTCAAAGTGTTTATTGGTTGCCATGAATTGTACTCCTTGTTTTTGTTTGTTTTTATTTATCTTTCTTTTTTCCTTAATTTTATTCCCTTTTTTTGCCTTTTTGGTGCGTGGACGACAGAGCGTATGGTATGGTTGGAATTTTTTTTCGGACTGTGAAATTTATGGTGTAAGTGGAAGGCAGCAGTTGTTAAGGTGATACAGAAGGTGTGTTGAAAGTGGGCTGAAAGTAAAGAAAGGCGAAAAGCAGTACAAATTCTCAAAAAATCAACACGTCACAACAATTTGGTATGTTTATTATTCTGATGGTGAAGCAGCTGCCTGGTAATGATGGTAAATGCAGTCGAGATGCCTCCACAGCAAGCATCTCACTAAGAATATGATGTAAAAGCCTTAGTAATATATTTTCCATTCTGCGCAGGCCCGCCTAAGTTAATTTTGTCAAGGTCCAGTAATGCCTGTAGAAAACTATGGTAAGCTTCAGCCTAGAAACATGTTTTTAAGACAATCCGGTATAGACTGGTTCTTTGATGACATTTCTGATCAAAGGTACTGCACAATCTTACCTAGACGGGTGGTTTTCATTTTAGGTTTCACTTGCATCCTCCACATTGTTTAAGGAAAAGAAGCAAATATATGATTTTGACTCATTACTGTCCTGTGTTTCCACGGCAGAATCTGTGTAGTTGATGATGTCCTCTAATCCTGTTAAAAAAATATTTTTAAAAAAGAAGCGAATGGATATATAAATGTTGTATTATGACAGATTTTTGGTAATGTGATTGTTACAAAAGCCATTTCTGAAAACATAAAACCTTTCAATTCAAATCACATCAGAAAATGGGAAACAAAAGTAATGTGTCCACTGTGCTACTTTCTCGGCTTTCAGTTCTTGTTAGAGTAAAAAGACAAGGGGTGTGCAAATGTAGAAAAGGGATTGTAAACTTAGGCTTTGTTATTTTTCGGTGGAGTCATTGTCAAAGTTTTAGTCATTTTGATGGCTTTGCTCAGCGCCAGGCACGCAGAAACTGGAATCACTTTCTTAAACCAGCTGGAAAAGTGTTTTATAAATGTGTTGGGTTCAGTGAATATTGCGGAGAAGCAAAACGTTTGTTCATGCAGGTTACGGTGTAAACCTACACGAGTAGAGCTGTTTTTAGGTTTTAGGTTTCACAGACTTAATGTCCTTATCTGCAGGTGGCCAGCAGCCTCAGGACCAAAGTTTGACTCAAACCTTTCTTTGTATAGATCCTGTAAACTGGCCAGTTTTATGGCTTGTGAAAATTAATTTTCTTTTTTTCTTACTGGAAAAGTTGAATAGATTTAGTTGCTTATTTCTTCCCAGAAAGTTCAAAATATACAGTTTCAGGTTGTATTTTGCTTTTTCTATCTTTTTCCCTTTGTTCTTGCACAATACTATGTTTTTCATTTGTGATTTCACTGTAAGTGTATGCACGAACAAGGGGCTGGTCTCTGAAACAGAAATTAGCTCAGTTTTGTTGTCTTTGCTTTTTTCTTTTCTGTGTTTGTCATAAAGAAAAAACATTACCACCGTTACATTTTGTATTCCCTTTGAAATAAAAAACAGCTGTCGCTTTAGGATGGCGATTCAGTTTGTTTGACCTATGTGATTAGTCCACTAAGGGATTCTGTGTGAGAGCTGGTAAAATGGTATTTAAAGGGACCCTACTCCTGAAGGAAACCTGACTTTGTAAATAACCATCTTATACTGACTTTCTTCAACTTGTGAAATAGAAGAAATATTATTTCTGGTGCATAGATTTATGATTTTGTTAGCTTAAATGTTTGCTTTTCATTTATTATGTACACACACAGATATATATATTCCAAGACACACGACACAATTCTAATTTGTTTGTTTATCATCTAAATAATTTCCCATAATTCTACCTGTGTTTGTAATATTACCAATGACAACAATGTGATTTGGCTCCCTTCACCTGCTGATACTGTGTCTTCTTATACGTGGAAGGCCCTGTAGGCTGCCCAGTGAGGAGGCAGCCTTATTCTGCTGTGACTAAAATAAATGTAGCATCACTACATTTCACTTTTCTATTCCATCACATGTGGTTGCGGCCGAGAAGTTTTAGAAGCGGTTTGGTTACATCAGTGTTTACTGACTCGTCATAGGCTGTTATTTACTCTCTTTTTTTTAATGTGTCAGTAACAGTTTTAGTCCTCAGCTCTTTGACTCACTGATAAGGATACTGATTGTACATTTCCCAAAAGTTTCCTAAGTGCCTCTTATCTGTAGAACCCAAAGTTGTCCATGATGACCCACAGTTTTGCAGCGGATTCCAAGCGTAGGGGATATTGTTTCTAATGTGCGAAAAAAAAAAAAAAGGTTAGTCCATCTTCCTGTGATATTGGTGGTGGTGCCTTATAAAGAGGAAAGTAACATGTTTTGGATACAATGGATAGAATGTTAATTATTATGCTCAGCACATGCAGATATCAAGTGTGTTTAAAACTTGTTCAAGTTCATTTCTGAAAAAATGGCTTACAGCCGGACAAAGTGGCACCACACCATCAGACCAGCAGACTTCAGTATTTTTTTATATACAATGCTCAATGTGATTTAATATCATGGATGTAAAGGTCTTTTTTAGATCCAGAATGTTTCTGATGCGCATACTGTGGAGGTAATTACTTTTTTGAAATTACAGTTTCCTCATATGCTCATTTACACTTTCAGCGAAGATCCGAGACATGTGATCCATATTACAGTCTTTACTAAATGTATGAAAAAGAAGGAGATTTGAAAAGTTCTCACATATTTATCTTTGTTCATTGCAGTTAAACCTGACATGGGTTTTCTTTCAATTTTCACCGTCTAATTTAATACTAACTTGCTGAATTGCAGGTGCAGGTTTACTAAAACGACTCTTAAGACACTAGTAGAGATTGTACATGAGCCCTGAGGAAATACTGCAGCAGCAACTGAATTGATGAATTACCATTGCTGCTTATAGAAACATCCCTCTGGACCTACCAGCAGTTATCAGTCCTCGTTAACTAGAATATGTTAGCCATTATTCCTTCATGTGTACTTTTAGGTGCTCGATATTGGTAAACAGATGAATGTGATCGTGATGGATACATGTGTTGTGCAATTTCTGTGATGCACCTAATTTGTTTGTACCTATTGCATTTATGAATTTTAACATAGATGCAGACCAATTTTCTCTGAAACTGCTATGCAGCTAATAAACTTTAAAAGTAGATCTTTTGAATATTTATTTTTCTATATCGCCTCTCCTGTTTTCACCTTAAAGGAGAAACCAAAATAGATATTCTCTCTATTATTTATGTTGCTTGTTGATGTTTGTCCATGCTTTGGGTACAGCATAAACTATTTTGTTCCTTTGGTTACAGAGCCTCTTTCCCCTTTCCACTATGAACAAAGACAGGGACTTTTCCTCCTCTTAGACTAAAGGTCACTCATTGTTTGTTCTCTGAATTACCATTTTGATTACTTGGATTAGGTGTCTCTAGTCAGCCTTATTGTATTCTAATGCAGTAATTACACCTTGGAGTACAGGTACGCCCTGGTGTCAAACTTTGTCATGTCACTATAGAAAAGAAAGTGAAAGAGAAACAGTTGGTATGACATTTGCCTGTCAGAAACCACAGACTACATACAAAAACAAAAATAATCTGAGGTTTGTTCTCCTCGTCACGAGTCTGAAAAGCCTTTTTTTTGCTTTCACTTTTAACCAGGTCAACCAATTTCCAAACCAACTCAAAAAGGGGAAATTAGCCTTTTCCTGTTTCCTGTTCATTTGCCTATAGTTGGAATGCTATGTCTTTCAATTACATTTCTGTAAACCTCCTGCAATCTGCTATTAAAATCATATATTTGAAGTTTTATTTGAAGTTCACTGTTTTTTTTATTTTAAAACAAAAGCTTTGTTGGGAAGATGTCACTGAACATATTGAAATGCACAGTTGATGAAATTGTCTAAAGTCATACTTATGTAAGAGATTTCAGTTTCATGTAGACAATGTGTCCACTTCACAGAGTCTGTTAAGGTGTAATGCAGGGTTCTGACTAAAATCTAAAACTACTTTTAGGCAGTAAAATCAAGAAATAGACATGTGATTTCATTGTCATGCATATGACAACCAACTTTCCATATCATTGAAGACATTAAGGCCAAAGTTACTATGCAATTTTCTACTTTCGAATTCTAAATTAATTCAGTTTATTGTTGTGGCCAAGCTATTGTAAGCTTGGATGTTGTTGGCTTGATACTGTCTTGAAAAAACTTTGGAGAAACTTTTGTAAATGATTCATATCTAAATTCACACTCTAATCAAATCTATGGAGTAAAATATCTCCAAAATCGAAGACACCCTGTACCAAAACAATACTGAAAAGCTGGACCATGCTCCCATTTTTCATTGCCTTAAGAATCTTTCAATTGAAAAAAAAAAGATGAATACTGACTAGTACCACCTAGTGAGATCACATGTATCCTATTATAACCTCTGTGACATGGCTCCCAACTGAATTAAGACTTTGATTTAAGACTCCTCTTATCGCATACTTGATGGCCTAACTCAATGACCGTCTTCAAATATCTCCATTCCACACTGCTGGGACTTTGAGAATACTTGTATTTATTCACAAAAAATAAAAAATACATTTGTCAATTTTTATCATCTAAATTAAATTTAAAAAAAATACTGAAAAAAAATCAGTGCACCAAATTTCAAATTTTAGAATGCATACTTTGTGATTCAGACAGTTTGTTTTCAGCTTCGATTATTTTTTCCTGTAAATTAGTTTTCGACTTGAAATTTTTGTGAGAGGCGGGACTTCAAGTGACGTAGCGTGATAATTGGCTAACAGTACGCAGATTTCAATAAATGTGGGAAACACCCATAGACGGTATTGAACATAAAACCTAAAATATTTAATAACACTCACATAATTAATTCGATTTGATTTTTTATATTTAAACTTAAACGTTGAGCTTTGCTGGTAAAATATGTTATTTAAGGCCAATATGAAGCTGTTGTAAAAGGAAACTCATTTACAAACTAAGTTTTCAAACAAGATAACGCCTCATATGTAATTGGCACAAATGTTACCTAGTGCTGCTACCGTTTTTGGAGCGCTTGTTTCCGACACTCCTCCAAACGCACCCTGAACGTTTAGGGGAGGAAGGGAGGGTAGGTACTTTTAGTGTTGCATAGCCGCTCATCGCCCATTCTAAGCGCAACACCAACAACATGGCGGACGTGACAGCGGCAGACGGAGAGAAACTCAGCAAAAAGTGAGCCCGTTCATTCCGTCCTTTGGTTTTTAACTTTTACTCGTTTTGCACGCTGTGGACTCAAATTCAGAGCTGTTGCTGTTTCGACAATGATACCCGTTTCAATTCGGCTTCGCTCAGCCTCCAGGGAGAAAATGATAGCGATGTGAAGGTCCCATATGGGTGCACGCCGGATACCTACACGTCCCAGAATTCCGCTTGTGTATGGCTCTGGAAGTTGTAGTCTTAAAAATAAACCTAACCAGTTAGCGGCTATACGTGTTTACCCTTCAGTAAACTACATTTCCCATAAAGAGGTTTAAGAAATGTCCTCTGCATATCGCATGTAACAATGTGGCTGTTTCAAATCTTAGTTAAATTAATGGGTTTTTAAAAAAGCATTGAATGATTGTCGCTTTTTCTTCGCTCGTGTGCTATATCTGGTTGCGGTCTTACCAAGATTCAATAACGGTTTCGTTTTAGTAAGGTGTCGACTCAATACTTAACAGGAAATATTAAGCTAATTTAAAAAAAACTCCTTTAAAATTAGAATTGCAAAAACTCCTTTACCAGCAAGAAGTATGCTACTTACATTATTGTGTTTTGGGTGAAAACTCTGATCGTCTGTGCTTTCCTGTATATATGTATATATGTCTATTTTCTCAGGCTTGTCTGCTGACTGGTAGCTCAGTATGCTGTGTCTGGTCAGGGCAGCCAGGCATCAGCTGTGCCAGTCTTTTGCTGTCAGGGGACAGTGGTTAAAATATGCATCCCCGTGCACAGCCCCAGTCCCATCTCAGTTTCACGGGATTCGTTGGAAAGGTGGCAAAAGGTTGGTGGCTTTTCCATTCCTGTGTGAAAAACAACCAACCTTTTGTCATCCAAATAGATGTGATCCCCCCCCCCACTTATTCTTTTGTATATTTTGTTGTCATCTTTTTATAGTTTACTTGTCCTGTCCTGTTTTTTATTTTTTATTTCAGCGACTCCACATTGTTAGTGTAGTGTAATGCGTGTTTATGTGGGCGGTCATTTTCAAACTTTTTGAAAAGGTTTGGCCCATCTTTCACTTTTTTTGCTTGCGGCAAAACATTCCAGTCTAATCTGTGACTCATCCAAGATTAAACTATCTCTCTTGTCAGTGAGCTGAAAAGGCGCATGAAAGCTGAGAAAAAGGCGGTTGAGAAGGAAGCTAAAGTTAAGGAGCAGGTGGAGCAAAACGATCAGGCAAAAGTGAATGCCTCCGCTCTGGATGAGGAGACGCTTGACCCCAATGTGAGATTCTCTTTTTTTTTTTTAATCCTTACTTCTTGCGGATTAAACCCTTATCTTAAAAATAATCTCAAATCTGTTGCCTCTTGTTAGCAATACTTCAAGATCCGCTCCCAGGCCATCCAGGAACTGAAGGGCACAGCGGAGGACCCGTACCCACACAAGTATCATATAGACCTTTCACTGACAGAGTTCATCGAGAAATACAGTCATCTGCAGCCCGGGGACCAGCTCACAGATGTTGTTCTCAGTGTTTCAGGTACCCGGGACAGCTCTCGTGCATTTCGCAGCAATCACAAATTGGCTCGTGTGTTTACATTTTCTGAACATTCTGCAGGCCGCGTTCATGCCAAGAGAGCTTCTGGTGCCAAGCTCATTTTCTACGACCTGCGAGGTGAAGGCAACAAGCTGCAAGTCATGGCAAACTCCAGGTACGGTGTCACGACCACGACTGAAGGGCATATTTGTTTTTTTTGGAGCCAAATCCAATACAACTGCAAAGGATAAGAATTCTTTGTTTTTTTTATTGAACAAATATCTGTGGTTTGAATCTGGATGTCTGCCCACTAATGATCTAACAAATGCAATGCATGTGCTCTTAATTAAACTCGACATAGGAAAGTGCAAATGTTATTCAGTGTAGAACAGAATATATTTCTGATAGCTTTTAGGTGGGACCTTTGGTGTTGAGTACCTCATTACTTGTCTCATGTGAAAAATTTACCCTGTCAGAAACTATAAATCAGAAGAGGACTTCATTGCCATCAACAATAAACTACGCCGCGGTGACATCATCGGTGTGCAGGGGAATCCAGGAAAAACCAAAAAAGGGGAACTGAGCATCATTCCGATTGAGATGACTCTGCTGTCACCATGTTTGCACATGTTGCCCCACCTCCACTTTGGCCTAAAAGACAAGGTAACGCCCATCACCTGGAGCATCTTAGGGGGGGAAATGTATAAGTGAGAGTTTTAAAGAGAGTTCTGTTAAGTGGAGAAACGTTTTCTCTTCATGCCCACATCAGGAATCATAGTGCAACTCTTTTATTTCTGTGAAATGGCGATTCTGTTTCTTCATGTTGGAATTTGGGTCATTACTTCTGGTTTCTCTTTGTCCATAGTTTCCTTTTGACTGTGTTAACTGCTGCCGCTACCTGAAAGGGAAATTAATTATCCATTTTTCTTTGGGAGGGTGTGTGATCAAAAGGGAAATTCCAGTTGAGCTGGGTTGACCTCAGTTAGTTTCTTCTCCAGTAGATAAAGATAAATAGCATTGATTCGGCATCAACAATAAAACCACAGGAACGGTTTTGATTGATCAGACTTGATATGATTAAGATTCTTAGACTTGTCTGCATACAGAAGCTGAAAATCCCAACACTTTTTAGCGTTAATGTCGATGTAGTCACGATAGCCTCTATGGAAAGGAAGAGAACATCCTGTTGATGAAACGGACTTGGGCAGTCCTCAACCACCCTTTTTTTTTCTCTCCCTAAGGAAACACGATACCGACAGCGGTACTTGGATTTGATTCTCAATGACTACGTGAAACAAAAGTTCATAACTCGCGCCAAAATCATCACATACCTGCGCAGCTTCCTGGACCAGCTGGGATTTTTGGAGGTAGGAAACCAGACAAAGTAAACTAACGTCTCCTATTTACGCGTGAAGATTAGTTTTTCGTTTTCGCTGAAATAAGTGTCTGTGATCGTTCAGAACTGGACCATTTTTTGTTGTTTTTTTGCTTTAGATCGAGACACCAATGATGAACATCATACCCGGTGGAGCAGTGGCGCGCCCTTTCATTACCCACCACAACGAGCTGGATATGAAACTGTACATGAGGATTGCCCCTGAGCTCTACCACAAGGTATCACCAGGGATTTACACAGAGTCCATCCACCTGTGTGGGCGGTGGACATCTTTAGGTACTCTAAACTTTGACTTTCCCACAGATGCTTGTGGTTGGTGGAATGGACAGAGTGTATGAGATTGGCCGCCAGTTCAGGAATGAGGGCATTGATCTCACTCATAACCCAGAGTTCACCACCTGTGAATTCTACATGGCCTATGCGGACTACCACGATCTGATGGACATCACAGAGAAACTCCTGTCAGGTGATATGAAACGCAGCATCAGCATTACTGCACTTGTGGCAAGTTTCCAAAGATGCATTCTGTTGATTTCAAATTGAAATAAATACTAAATTGTCTCCAATATTAGTATTGAAGAACTTTGGCTGTGCATGCATTTGAAATGGGCTCCTGCAGAGAAACTGCAGAGTTGGGTCACTCCAGCTTCAGCGTGTTTCTTAAATGAGGGACTTCCTGTTTGCTTCAGGGATGGTGAAGCACGTCACTGGGGGGTACAAGGTGACCTATCACCCCGACGGTCCGGAGGGACAGGCCTACGAGATTGACTTCACCCCACCGTTCAGAAGAGTGAGCATGACGCACGACCTGGAGAAAATAATGGGGGTTAAATTCCCTCCGGCCGACAGCTACGACAGCGACGGTAAAACCCTGCACACGCGCAGCTGTTGGCTCCAGTTGAGAGGACAGCACGCTGCTCTTGTCCTCTGCTTTGGCACCACGCTGTGATCTCAACAGTAACGAGGCTTTCTAAATGTTCTCCTCAGAGACGCGCAAGTTCTTTGACGAGCTGTGCGCCAAAAAGGGCGTGGAATGCCCCCCTCCCAGGACCACGGCCCGACTCCTCGACAAGGTGCGCCCGCCGTCTCTCTCAGCGAACTGCGAGTTTCTCCTTTCCCCTCAGCTTGAATATTGTTTTTCACTGTTTTGTTCTTTCCTCTCTAGCTGGTTGGAGATTTCCTGGAGGTCACGTGCATCAACCCGACGTTCATCTGCGATCACCCTCAGATCATGAGCCCGCTGGCCAAGTGGTGAGGACTGTTTCACCTTCCCTACTGGTTTGTTGGAAAGCGGCTCTCGGGCCCATTCTGACCCGTCCCTGGATGTTGCAGGCACCGGGCGCAGAAAGGCCTAACGGAGCGCTTTGAGCTCTTTGTGATGAAGAAGGAAATCTGCAACGCCTACACAGAGTTGAACGATCCCATCAGGCAGAGGGAGCTCTTTGAGCAGCAGGCTAAGGTGCACAATGAGCTTTAAGTTGCTTTAAACATGGGTGATGATAAAACGCCACGTTTTGGCATGTATGGCTGCGCGTTGTTGAACCGAGGGGCGTGTTTTCAGGCCAAAGCCGAGGGCGACGACGAGGCCATGTTCATCGACGAGACCTTCTGCACGGCCCTGGAGTACGGTCTGCCCCCCACCGCCGGCTGGGGGATGGGCATCGACCGTCTCGCCATGTTCCTCACCGACTCCAACAACATCAAGGTGAGGGGGCCCTTTGAGACAGAATTATTTTAGCAGAGAGGCGTTTGAAAGCAGTGACGTCTCAATTTATTTAATTTTTTTCTCAAGGGGCAGAGCCACTGGTGCCCAACGTAATATTGGATGAGCAGCATTTATTTATTTAGTTATGAATTTTATTTTAGTAATTTTATTTATTAATACAATCAAGGGTTTAAAAAAAACAACAGACTCTGAATATCTTAGTTTTGAGTCCAAATGTCATACAAAAAAAAAAGATTTGATCACAAACTTCATGTCGTGAGAAAGTTTCGCTGACATGGAGCGCAAAATGCTTCCCAACCAGTTTGGCTGAACAGTATCATCTGTACATGACTTCACTGATCAAGTGATCAGAAACAAAAACAAAAAAACAACCTGCAGACACTCTGTCCCACAGATCAGATTTTAGATGTGTTTGTGAGTCTGTGTTGTGCTATACAAGGTAGTGTGTTTTTATTTTTTCACTGCTTTGCACTGGAATTATTCAAATAGTGGGAAAATGCATTGATAAAAGGGTTTTTGTAGGCATGCCTTGATTATTTCACAGGTGATTGACGAGGTCACAGTTTATGTTCAAAGGCAGCTTTGGGTGTTGTCTTTTTTTAAAGGCCAAACCTGTTTCAAGCCATATCAAACACCAGCCTAGGAATGAAATGCAATGTTAGGGTTAGTATTTGTATAACTTGTCCTCATGTTGGCTTAAAAATCTATACGAGTCAGATTAGTCAGTTTTCAGTATAACTATTGATCGGGAATCAGGTGCTTTCTGCTCTGAATGATCACATTTGCGTGAAAGCATCTTCTTTAAATGGGTTTCTCTGGATGTTGGAATGTTGGAATGTTGCCGATATGGATGTTGCCGATAATAAAGTTTACCCTTGAAAAGTGTAAATGGTCGTCTTTCTGTGACATTGTGGTGTTTTTTTCTTGAACAGGAGGTGTTGCTGTTCCCGGCCATGAAGCCTGATGACAATAAGGCCACTGCTCCCACAGAGGGCTCTGCTGAGTAAGGACTCCGCTTCTGTTGCGTCTCAGCTGGAGCTGGTGTGAAGTAGGATGCTTTACCTCACTGTGGTCATCAGCGGAGTCTGCAGGCTTTGTTTTGTTTTGGGTTTTGGGTTTTGTTTTGTTTTGTTTTTTCAATGTAAATTGTTGGAACAGGATGTCTGTGTTCAGTGGTTTGAGGGTTTTCCATCATGAAGGGAAATAATCTTCTCGTTGTCACATCACTGACTGCTAAAGAGTAAGGAATGGGTTTTCTTTTATATTTCGTACACTTAAATATGCTCGTTTTCACCGCTTCCTATTTTTCAGTTAGTCATTTAAATCCTTCTTCTTCATCTACTAATTGAATTAAAAGAAGAAAGGAGAGAGCTGTGCAAACCAGGAAGTAATGCTTCTGAGAAGACTTGGAGCCAAAGGGGGCACTTGATTTTTCGTTACCAATTACACAACTTGGTTACGTGTCCTAAAAAAAACAACATAAAAAAACTGCAGAAACGCAAACTGATATTTTAAATGTTCTTTCCATATTCATGTGATTTTTACTGGGTGTTCTTGTATTCCTCAAGAAATTCAAAATCCCTGCCAAGGAGTTTAAAGATTGTTATGTCTGAATAAAGTGCATATGAAATAACTTTAACTCTCTTGTGATGTTTGGGCTTTTTAAAAATCATTTTAATGAGAAAGAAGGTTATGAGCAGAAAGGAAAGAAGTGTCTGTGTTTTGAACATCTTTCCAAATATATTTGTGAGTTGCAACAAAACTTTTGATCTTTGTAAAAAAGATGAACCAAATGAACACAGGGAATTATTATCAGTGTGTTCTCTGGCCAACTAATTTGCAATATAAACCAAAAATAGGTGGAAGACATTATTGTTATTTTAGGTAACTCATTTTTGGTTTGTTTTATTAGCCTTATTTCCATACTTGTAGAATACCAGATTTCACCTGCTCAGCAATTTATTAGAAAAATGACCATAGTCTTGCAGTGGAAATACAGGGCATTGCTTTCGGGGTAACTTGTTCCTCCAAAATGACCAAACTTTTGCATTTTGCATGCAGAAATAGGTTTTGAACTGATTCCTTTGCAGAGTTTGTTACAAAGTAGCTATAATCAGTATGGGAAGTCCATTCTGACCCATGTAGAGTACAATGTCCACCCAACTGCCCTGGTCTACCACTTGCTAACTTTGTAGTACCATATACAATAAAGCATTAGAACAGTCACAATGAAAGTTTGGAGTAATTTTCTCCCCTGGTTGTATTCTCTGTTGTAATCTTTTAAATTCAACATACAACAACATTATGGTGCAACCTCTATGTAACTGTCTTGAGATCTCTCATTTTAAACAAGATGGTTTATCTCTAGTTCCAATATTAACCAATAATTCATATAGCCAGTGAGATGGTAAAATAAGTATGTCTTATATACATTTTGATTTGTTATATGTGTTCTCTATCTCTGCCTGTTTTGTGCAGTATAGCACATTTGTGGCAGGTTAGGACCGTGCACTTTTCTGAGTGAATTACTCTTGTACATTATGAATTAAGAATAGGGCTAAAAATATGTTCATATATATTTGCAAAACCGTACAACTTAAATTGTGGACGAAATTGATGGCTGATTCTTTTATACCCAGCCCTGACAACCTCACCTGTGATCTGTTGGTCAGAAAAATCATCCTGGAAATTTGTTACCTTTCTATTCTGTTAACCACAATCTGTATCTGTCCTTTTTGTGTGGCTGCCATTAGATTCTGGATTTAACTGTACAACATGGATTCTGATGACAAAATGTTTTTATAATAACAACTTTATACCCCTTGAATTTCCACCAGCTCAATGCTCTGGTGAGATTCAGAAGTCCGTGAAGTCTTTTTTTTTTCTCTTTCTCTTTTTCTTTTTTTGAAAAAGTCGGGTCACATTCCTCCCTCCCTCCCTTTTTCTCTCACACCCTCCGCAAGTGGGATGGTGCGCGCTCCCGCGGTCAAGTGCACGTGCACGGGGCCGCGCGGGGGCTGAACAGAGAGTGAAGATGGCGATGAGAGCGGCGCTGCGGTGTCTCCCTGCGAGCTTCCCCCCCGGGCTGCCCCTGCTGCCCCGGCTGCTGTGGAGGAGCGGCTCCCCGCGGACCCTGACCACGACTCCGGCCCTGACCGCAGGTAAAGGGCACAGCCAATCAACAACGAGCTGGACGGTGCGGGCGGACGCATTCCTGCGTGCCCGTTTCGGGTGGCCGGACACCCGCTGTATCCGGCCGCATTCCTCCGCTCCGCGGTGGGAAAGTTGGGTGCTGAAACTTTTGGCTGCGTAACATAAGCCTTCCACTTGTCCGCTTAGGTAGGCGAAAGGGGGTTGCATCGCCCCCCAGAACGAGAGGCAGCCAGCCAGCCAGTGCACGAGCTCTTTAATTTAAGCGTAAAGTTATGTCTCGTGCGCCAAGAAGCAGCTTATTAAGACAGAAGTCAGGCGTGATGGTGGACCTGTGCCATGGACACGGGGGGGGAGAAAGATGGTTGTCATGCGTGCATGTGGTCAGAAATGACAGTTATTTGAATCCTTCCTTTTGTTTTTATGAACTCCTATATCAGAAAAGCCTATAAAGGTTAAAGAATGTTTTAGAATATATTCATTTCGAGCCTGCCATCATATTAAATAGTTCAGCGTTCAGCCCTCTGGCTGACTCTGGTCATGGATCAGCATCTGGCACAGTTCACAATCTGGTTCAAACCTGTATTTTTCTGCATGGTCTGATGTCAGCGCTGAAAACCGCTGAGGCATCGCGGTGGTATTGTAAGGTTGGAGTGTTTTGGAGGCAAAAGGTTTTAACTACGTTGAATAGAGAAGTGCTTAAATATTATGTTCCACATGCCCGATCGCATTAAGTAACTCCCGGATGTCCAGTCATGGTCCAGAGTACAGTTGTATGGTGTTTGGCCAACTGTTTTAACAGTTAATATGTCTTTTAGAGTGGTGCTGCTCGTAGCTCTCAGGGGTCATCCTGGCATCATGTTTTTACATTTACTACATATACTGCACGTGTTTAACCGTTCTGACTTGTTTTTCTTTTCTCTTCATAGCCCTCAAGTTCACAGAAAAACATGAGTGGGTGCAGGTGGACGGAGGAATTGGCACTGTTGGTATCAGCAGTTATGCCCAGGTAGGTTTTTGGATCCGTCCCTTGAGTCCTTGATTCATGGCGATCTTTGTTCGGAGTTGTACCTTTGCTAATCTTGAAGCAGTTCAGATCTGCCCTTTGCTCTTGGCCGCTTTTCTATTTCAGGCTTCTTTGCTATTTTATTGCTATTGTTCTGTTAATTGATTACAGCTGAACTGCAGAGTCAGCAGAAAAGTGCAGGACACTTGATTATTTGAGTATCTAATGATCAAAGTTGTGAGTGAGGACTGGAGTTTTCGTCTTTACTTTGAAGTCAGCATTTAGAATGATTTCAGATATGGACACACATGCCACAAATGCCCCGACATGCAAGTTCAGCCTTCAAATCAGCCACCAATACTTTCACTCATACTTTTATTCTCTTCCAACATATATTTTCTCCCCAAAAATGAGTTTAGGAAAAAGGAAACACTTTTTTCTTCAGCAACAGCGAACATGTTATTGATTTTTTTACAATAGTCCATCATGAAACCAGCCATACGTGAACAATTACAGATACATATTTCTATTTTTGCGACACTACCCAACAGAGTAAATCGGACTGATTGTTTTTTAATTCCACATTAATCGACGTGTCTGCATGCACTGCGTGTTTCCTGTGCACCCGCTGCTTGTGGAAATGTCCCATTTAGTGTAAAGCCACGGTTTTGTCAGAAATGTTTACTCCCTGGGCCGGTGTAAGTATCTGACTATGAAACCATCCTGCCTGTTTTGAATCAGGAGGCATTAGGCGATGTGGTCTACTGTGGACTCCCTGAAGTTGGCCAGCAACTTGATCAAATGGGTAAGGTCCATAACGTGATCAAAAACTCCATAATCCTGAGTCGGTTGTGGTGTGATTCAGGATTCTCTCACCTGTTTCTGACAGATGAGTTTGGTGCTTTGGAGAGTGTAAAGGCTGCCAGTGAGCTGTACTCACCACTGACAGGAGAAGTGACTGAAATCAACACAGAGCTGGCAGAAAATCCTGGACTTGTGAATAAAGAGTGCTACGCCAAGGGTCAGTTTCAGTTATTGTCTTTACCAGTTTGCTGTTGAGTCGTCAGTGCAGGTCACAGGTTATTTTTAAACTCTCCTTTTTTCAGGCTGGCTAATCAAGATGACCATCGCAAAGCCCGAAGAACTCGACAGTCTCATGGATCAAGCCGCGTATGACAAGTTTGTTAAGTCGCTGGACGAATAAACCAACAAACCTACTGAGCCTCTATGAAACCGCAGTCACAGGTTTATAGCGAGGGTTACTAACATCCTGGATGGCACACTTCTTCTGTGGTATTTATTTTGATACTAGATGTTGAGCCATCAATACCGTAAATTCTCAGTAACCGATCCCACCTAGAAGGTTAGGATTTCAAAAAGCTACAGGCAAGTCTGAAGGCCTCTTAATATCAATATCTGTCAGTATTAATGGGTCTGTGTTCCTTGCTTGCTCCATTGTTTATTGTGCACAGGTGTGGCCGAAGACTTGAAAAGGCTGTGTCGAGGAAATTTAATAAAGCTTAGTTTCTAAATATCAGTTGGTGTCCTTGGACTTATTTGTTTCCAGTTACAAGTTGAGTAACAATCTTGGCAATTACAGTAACTACACAGAGATGTATAATACGGTGAGGAAAGCCGCTACTCACAGCTCACATGTTCACATGTAGGTTCTCATGTCAGTCTGACATGTGCTGACAGGGTATGTAACTTCTATGTGATTATTATGGTACAGCACACCTTGACCTTTGTCCTTTGTTAAAGATAGGCTGAGATTGCGGAGGCTTGCTGATAAATCATTAATCCACCATTAGTTTTAAAATCAGTGTCCAAAAGACGGCGTTGCTTTGTATTTATTGCAGAAACAACTCTGCTTCATCTTCATTTGCAATGAATAATTTATACATTAGTTTGGATATGGCAAAATATTTCCTTTAAATAATCTGGCGTTTCCAGACTTTTAATTAGTGTATGTATTTTTGAAGTTATTTTGAATGATAATTTTCATATCGAAATGTTAGAACAATGGCCTTTACAGTAAAAAGACCTTTGCTGCTATTCTGGCATCATGCTTTTGAAGAAAACAAGCCATTTGTCAATTCAAATGAATCTCTAAAATTAACCTTGTCTATTTAAACTAATCAATTTAATTGATCAGTTAATTAATTTGTTTAATTTGAAGCTCCAAATTAAATTGGTTATAATTTCCTGTTACATTAAGTCGCAAAAATATCTTCAGCCTGAAAGACATCAACTCTCAAATCAATTCCAATTTGTTCTAATTTCTGTTTTACTATTATCAGGAGAAGCTTCATGCTTTGCTACTTATTATCAATCTTGTTCAGCTATCAACAAGTAACTCATTAACCATGGTAATCAAAAATGGTAATCAGTCTAAACACTTGAACCACATTTTAAGCAGAATATCAATATGTGTAAATGATAAACAGATGTCATAAATCTAAAAGTTTCCAAGCTTCCCCTTAACACATCCGGCACAAAACTCAGTTTATTTAATTAATAGATAAAAACATACTTAACTGAATGATAGGTGGGAGGGTACGTGTTGAAAAAGTAGTACATAAAAGAAGGTGTGTAAAAGTAATTGACATCAGATATAAGAGAGACAGATGTTACCATGAATTGAATTAATAAAATGTATGTAAAGCTAGATGATATTGGGTACTGAAAGCACTCTTAAAAGTAGGATGCTCTCCCATAACAGGATAATCTCTTTTCCAGCTTGATTTTTCTTTTGTGGATTTACAACGGGCATAATCAGCTTTTTCCACCAAGAACGACAACCATCACAATAACCAAACAGCAACTCTGGCAAAGTAGATGGATGTGGCTTTAATAAGAATAATTTAGTCTTTCTCTGGGAAGCTTAAAGCCCTCATTGAATTGTTTCCACTTCTTTCATTCATCTTTTGGTCTGTGGGAAAATGTAACGTCGTGTCAGGGCTTAATAGGCACGACTTTGAATGATTTGGACAGTTTTTTTGACAAAGCCTGAAATGTAAAGAAGTTAGTGAGGATTTTAAATAACATCATGCTTTGTGCAGATTTAGCCTCCCCAGAAAGCCCTAAATCTGTAATATGCCCACGTAATCAGACATTAGGTTATTAAAAAATCACCATCAATATTTCTTTACCATTAAAGTAGCTGCCTACTGTTTGAAGAATGAAGTGATTTTCTTTATTGCACAGGCAGAATCTGTTTATGTATTACATCAGTATATGTGAGGATACAGTTCAGGATCTCTACTAATTTCCTCAGAAATCTTCTCTAATAATTAGAAAAAAATACTGTACTCCAAAAGCACCATGTGTCATACTGTTTAAAAAATGAGTTTCACTAGACACAGCTACCACTTGTGTAGGAGGAGCAGAGATACATCTAGTGGCTGGAACAAAAACTTCACCCCCAATTTTGACAGTCCGACTTTTAAACTTCCCATAACGTAAAATTAATGGTTTAATTTTTCAACATATACAAACACATGGTGCTTTACAAATGGAGAAAACAAAATATTTAAAATATTACTATGAATTAACATTGGTATCAACACAGTCATATTTAATCCAATTTATTTAATTTGATTATTAATCTAATATCTGGCAACTGAAAATATAAACCCTATTTTGATGGAGAAAAGTGTCTATTTTATTGCTTTGTAACGATTCCAAAGCAAAACAATTACTTAAAAAGTGTACTAGGATACAAAGTCAATTCGAGTGCTTGTTTTAATAGCTTTCCTAATATTCTTCATGTAGATTAAAATCAAAATCAGTTGAATGTAAATGTTTGTGCTCTTTGTCCTGTAAAACCACATCTACTTTTCAGGATCTGGTTATTATGGACACAGATTACATGTTAATTTTCAATATTTCAGTATTTATATTACAGTAACAGAGTTACAGGCTTTAGTAGATGAAAACACTCAGTATTAAAAGTACAGACGCTGGTTTGGTGCTTCCTTATATCCTAAACATCAAGAGTAAAAGTGTATAATCATCACTATTTATTTCCCAGCTATATTAGTGTGTGTGTGTGTGTGTGTGTGAATGGGTGAATAAGTTGCGTTAATTTAAAGCACTTTGTAGAAAGGCGCTTTATGGAGTGCAGTCCGTTTTCTTTTATTATTTTATGGGGCGTTCTGCCACATCCAAGATGGCGGACTCGTTGACGTATCGCTGCAACGGACGAACAAGCTCAACGCCTACCGGACCCCGGCTCCGGCTCCGGCCCCGGTAGCCCGGTAGCCCAAACAGGGTACAGACAGGGACCGGACAGGGTCCAGACCATAGACATATATACGTAGACACCACGTTGAGCCTGTTGAGCCGTCCGTTGCAGCGATTCGTCAACGAGTCCGCCATCTTGGATGTGGCAGTACGCCCCATGAAATAATAAAAGAAAACGGACTGAACTCCATAAAGCGCCTTTCTATAAAGTGCTTTAAATTAACGCACCTTATTCACCCATTCACACACACAGTAATATATCTGGGAAAGAAATAGGCACAAAAAAGTACGTTACTTTTAAACTTATTATACATTTTTACTCCTGATGTTTAAGATATAAGGAAGCACCAAACCAGCGTCTATCCTTTTATTGCTGATACGTTCAGCTGGCGCCTGTTGCTGCATGTCGCCAATATAATGTTTGCATATACGTTCCATTTATGTATGTATGTATGTATGTATGTATGTATGTATGTATGTATGTATGTATGTATGTATGTATGTATGTATGTATGTATCTATCTATCTATCTATCTATCTATCTATCTATCTATCTATCTAT